ATGAGGTGAAAATCTCATGTACGGTTCTGTAATAGCGATGAGAACAGTGATGTTATTACCGACTATGATTATCTAACAGTTCGAGTACAGTTGATATAGTTGAGGCTCAATCAAAGTATGGTTTTTGGGGGTGGAATTTGTGGCGTCAACCTATAGGGTTTGTTATTTTTCTAATTTCTTCCTTAGCAGAATGCGAGAGATTACCTTTTGATTTACCAGAAGCGGAAGAAGAATTAGTAGCGGGTTATCAAACCGAGTATTCGGGTATCAAATTTGGTTTATTTTATGTTGCTTCCTATCTAAATCTATTAGTTTCTTCGTTATTTGTAACGGTTCTTTACTTGGGTGGTTGGGATATCTCTATTCCATACATATTCGGTTATGAACTTTTTGAAATAAATAAAGCGTATGAAGTCTTTGGAATGACAATTAGTATCTTTATTACATTAGCTAAAACTTATTTATTCTTGTTCATTTCTATAGCAACAAGATGGACTTTACCCCGACTAAGAATAGACCAACTATTAAATCTCGGATGGAAATTTCTTTTACCTATATCTCTTGGTAATCTATTATTAACAACTTCCTTTCAACTCTTTTCACTGTAAAGGAATACCATATTCTATATTCACGACTTGCTCAAACAAGAGAAAGAAACAAACATAAAATTCTTTAGAGATATTACAATATGTTCCCTATGGTAACTGGGTTCATGAATTATGGTCAACAAACAGTACGAGCTGCAAGGTACATTGGTCAGGGTTTCATTATTACTTTATCCCATGCAAATCGTTTGCCTGTAACTATTCAATATCCTTACGAAAAATTAATCGCATCGGAGCGTTTCCGCGGTCGAATCCATTTTGAATTTGATAAATGCATTGCTTGTGAAGTATGTGTTCGTGTATGTCCTATAGATCTCCCCGTTGTTGATTGGAAATTGGAAACGGATATTCGAAAGAAACGATTGCTTAATTACAGTATTGATTTCGGGATCTGTATATTTTGTGGTAACTGCGTTGAATATTGTCCAACAAATTGTTTATCAATGACTGAAGAATATGAACTTTCTACTTATGATCGTCACGAATTGAATTATAATCAAATTTCTTTGGGTCGTTTACCAATGTCAGTAGTTGATGATTATACAATTAGAACAATTCTGAATTCGCCTCAAATTGAAGTCTAAAATAAGTAAATCCCTTGAAGTGTAAACATCTATACATTATATAACAGGAGAAGTAATCCACGACCATACTGAATATACAATATGCATGAAGGTCTACACAAAATTATAACTAAGTACTTTGATACACAAAATACTTCCATATATAACATGACGAAATTCCTTAGGAGAACTACATACATTTTTTAGGCATTTCAATCCTATTCACTACCATGTAAATCATATACATGGTCATAACAGTCATGAACGAGTAAGTATACATAGAAGCACAGGTATCAAATAATCGTACATCATCATTAAAAATTAATAACACATACATAAAAGTCATAATGTGTTTAGTTAATTTCATTCAATCTAGCTCGTAAGCATTCCAACAGTAAGTTCACTTATAGTTGAAGTTCAATCTAGTGCCTAACCTAAGCTCTCTTTGGTTGACGTCCCTAACTACAGCCTTACCCAATTACTCGTAATCTAGCCTTATATCGTGAAATATGCTACTAAATTGCCTAAAAGATGAGTTAAATTGACATACTTAATATGATCTACGAACATGCTGAAATGATTGCACTAGCTGGAAAAACCTTGAATCGGCCCAAAAATGGATGGACAAAGGCTGAAAAACTCGAATTGAGCTGAACCGAAGGTGAATTGGATTCAAGCCGGCCACAAGCCAAGGTGAGCCAAACACTCATCCACTGAAGCCGTTGAGCTACTAACGAAGCCATGGCTAGAGGCGAGTCAGATGCTCACTGACTATTTAAGAGGTGAGTTAGTCCTAAGTCACAAGCTCACAAGTCTCTACGTTTGAGCTAGCGTCGTCATGGACTTAGGCCTATGTTTCACGAGGACTGAGGCTTGGACGTGGGTTGGGTCGTGCATACACCAAGGCTGAATGCACGTGTGGGCTTAGGCTTCTTAGCTTCATTGGAGACATGTATGGGTTGGATGATTCATTTTGAACCCGACCCATGGTAAACTAGGGGAGGCAGCAACACTAGTGTTCTATGACAAAGAAGGAATCAAAGGACTGTGTTGCACGCCGCCAACCGTCGTCGGACGGCGGAGCACGGTGGCCGGAGTGAGGGAGAGAGAGGTGGCTGATTGAGACATTTAAAACCAAATGTCTTCTTCTTTCCTAAACCCTAATTGACTTAATCAAACCCTAAAAAATCAAGCCCCTCTGATCCAAAATTTCTCCAATACTTCAGCTTCCTTCCTCCTTCCTCAGTAGGTTCCTCTGTAGGTCCGATTGAGCTCCTACTAATTAGAATTAGAACAATTCACAATAAAATTATAAACAAAAATCATTTCAAAGTAGAATATAAAATCCAAAATTAAACGAAAATAAAATTCAACAAACGAGAGACATAAATTATTCCGAGTAATCTCGGGACTTAACAATGTATCTCAAGCATTATAGGCTATCAATGCCATGAAATAGAGTAACATAGACCAGTCTTGAGTAATGTTTTATAGAACATTTATTTAATTGAACCATTCTTGAGATCATTATTTTTGAGACTCACCAACCAGCCTAACTGTGATTGACAAAAACAGCAACAGCTTGACATGTAAATTGAAAAACTAATATAGCTACATGTCCAAACTATTGTGTTTTTTTTTTTTTTTTTTTTNTTTTTTTTTTTTTTTTTTTTTTTTTTTTTTTTTTTTTTTTTTTTTTTTTTTTTTTTTTTAGAAAAACTTAAAACTCAGGAACCCTTCAATTTTTGACAAAAGAGAAATCAAAGAGGCAAGAAATTCAAAGAAAATGAAGGGTTTTGATTTTTATTTAGAGACGGACGGCGGCGATGAGGAGTCGGAGCTTGGTGGAGCGCCGTGTCTATGCAGGAGTTCACGGGCCAAGGCTTGAAGATCGCCTTCTCCGGCCACAGTGGACAAGCCGCTGCCGCCGCCGCCACCACCACCTCCACCCCCGGTAAACTGGCGAGGGTCGAGGCGCTGCTGTGGCAAGACCCAGGCAGGCTGAGCCATTGGGTCGAAGAGGGACGACAGGTCGTAAGTGGCTGGCAGGGAGGGGGGGGATGGCAGGTCTGAGATGGAAAGCGGCGGTACCCCTTGGAAACTTGGTGGTGGAGGTGGAGGTGGCGGGTTTGGTGGCGACGGCAGTTCCAGTGATGCTAGTTGGGCTTGGAGGTACGACAGCTCGGCTTGCAAACTCACCACCTGCAGAGTTTTTAATTTACATATTAAGATTATAAACATTTAAATTTTATTATGTTTACTATTATTTTCACATAAATTATTATGAAACTACAAAAATAGATCAAAGTTTAAAAAAATATAAGGACTAAAATAAATTTAAATATAAACTAATTTAACTACACAACAAAAATAAATAAATTTGAAAATACATAACTAACATATAAATCTTAATCATAATGTTTTTAAATTTCATAGTTCAAGTAAAGAAATACATATCACTCATTTAGTATTTTTTACTGTATTCAAAATAAAAAAAAATTATTAGGCTTGAGTCTAATTTTTTGTTTATTCTTTTTTCATATTTTCCTAGAAAATAAAATTAAAAAATTCAACTAATTAATATAAGATATATAATATCATCATTTTTTAAGGTTTAAATTAAGCATAAATAGAATTTTAAGATGAAATAAATTATTGAGAGTAGATAACACTCAACTAAAAATAAGAATAAAAAGAAAAATAAATAATAAATAATAAAACAACAAAATTAAAGTGGAAATTGAACTAGTTTTAGCTTTTTCTATTTTACTAGAATTCTTTTCAAATATATAAAAATACCCTTAGGGCTTGTTTAACGCCAAGGTTCTTTTTTATTTTTAGAAACAAATATTAGTAAAATTAGCTATTTTTATTGTGGTTTAAGCACAAATAATTTAAAAAATGGAAATTATAAAGTATTAAAATTAATTTTATTTCATCTCAAAGAAATATTTACCAACCATACTGTTAATAGTACAAAGACATTTACGTAGTTGGTATTGCTATATATGCAGTATACATACATAGATTAAAAAAATAGAAAATATATATATATATATATATATTAAATAATCCAAACTATATAAAATCAAGACACTGAAAACTATTTTTGGTTTTTAATTTTTAGAAAAGGTCCTTAAACGTATATAAAAAAGACAATAAAAGGGAAAATATTTTCTTTTACTTAAAAAAGTTTCCAAAAAATCATTTAATTCATTATAAAACTCTAATTTTCACCAAAAATATTCTAAAAAAAAAAACAACCAAAACTTATGAGAATATTATTTTAAAAAAAATTATGATTTGGTTTAGAAGATACACTGACAGGAAGCTGAATATTGGGGGAAACGTAGGAAATGAGTCTTGTTTGTAATCAAAAGCTTGAGTTTAAGGCAATAGCCCGACCACTTCCTTAATAACTGCAAATAATAAATAAATACCCCCAAGATATTTATTTGAAAAAAGAAAAAAAGAATTTAATTATGGTATATTACCGTGGTAACCGCCGAAGAAATGATTTGGTAATAATATAATAATAAAGTAAAGTGGCAGGGTAGTAGAATTAAGTAGCTTTATCCTTTACCCATTGAAGGGTAGAGTAGGGTAGTGTAATTAAGGGGATAAAAGATTGTATTTACTTACCTGTTGTTGAAGGGCAAAGATATGAGAGACACAGCCATAGACAGGGTCTCGGAGGCGAGCCTGGGCCTCGTAGCAAATCGTGACCACGGCGTCGGGGCGCTTATGGATAGGGATATGGAGGAGGAGCTTGGACACATTGCTGGCTCCGAACACCTTGTGGACAGCTGCGAAATGGGCGGCGCCTTGTTCAGAGTCGAAATATGGGGCAAATATGCACCCTGGAACGCACTTTCTTCGAAGAAACTTGCAGGCCCCACATGGCCCACCCCCGCCGCCACTCCCCAGACCTCCTCCTACTCCTCCTCCTCCTCCGCCGCCACTTCCGCCGCCGCTAGTACTAGGGTTGGCACTCATTTTTCAGGATAAAAAGGAGGAGATGGAGTGAAAAGGAGCAGAGAGAGAAGAAGAAGAAGAAGAAGAAGAGGGCTTTTTAGGGTTTGGTGGAAAATTGTGGTGTTGCACAAGAAATGTTTTAAATTAACTGGGGGACTTATAAAGAGCTAAAAACAGCAATTTTTTTTTAAAAATAAATAAAAAAATAAATAAGAAAGTCTTTAAAGCCACGCGAGAGAGCAAAGCCTTACCACCTACATTTAGCTGCTCGCGTGAAGCAAACATGCGATAAGCCCTATTACTAAATATTACTCTTTTATTTTTATTTTTATTTTTAAAATTATTCTCTAGCTTGAAATCCCTCGTGAGTTTTTGGGCCTATAAAAATTAATTAAAACCGCCATTTATTTTTTTTATTTAAATAAAAATCTGAATTTGGTAGGTTTGTCGACGTGTCTAACAGACTGTCTATTTTTTGCCACACTGCGTGTTTTAAGCTGCGTGGAGGGCAAAAGACGTCAACTTTATTTTCTTTTTTCTTTTTTATTTTTATTTTTCTTCATATGGGGTGAATTGAATATGACTCACCTTTTTATTTCATTTACTATAAACAGCCAAAAAGGGAAAAGAAAATAACGTTTTTTATTATTTTTTTTTTTTTAATATTTTAAGAGGAGGGGGCCAATGAAGAAGGTCAAAATAGGAGAAGTTCGGCGTTCAAAGTGGGGTCCATAAGACAGGCTGTACCAATTTGCGGACGCCACGTCTGAGTCGGTGACTATAATGTAACGGCCGGGTTATTTGATTACCTCACATTCAGAGTAAGGGCCCCACGCGCCGTTTAAACGATATATATGCATAATGTAACGTCTTTCTTTCTTTTTAATTATTTTTTTTTTCTTTTTATTACCAATAATCAGTAAAAATATATAATTTAAGTCTTACCTTATCTATACTGTGGTTGACCTGAGTTCAACAACAGAATTCGCTTAAAAACTATAATTTATTTTTTTTAATTTTATATATTTTTATATTTATTTAGGTGACTTGATTAATTATTATTATTGTTATTATTATTACACTTAAAACAAAGGTTGGCTGACTATAGGATAGGTTGATTGCGACTATTTGACCTAATCATTTTCTTTCTATTTAAATATAGAAAAATATAAAAAGTCCCCTAATTTTATAACACTCTTCTAATCAATTTTAGGGATACGGTAAAAAAAGGTGTCAAATATAAATATAAATGACATACACAAATATTTAATTTTTAAAATATAACATGGTATAATTTTATAAAATCATTTATTTGAAAATAATTATTAATGAATGAAAATTAGTTTAATAATTTAACTTAATAAAAATAAATTAAATAATAATATTTAATTAAATTTTAAGGAATTATATATATATATATATAACTGTAGTGAAAAATAAAAAAAAAAATTAATTTCATCATTATCTCTGAAAAGGAAAAAGGAAAAAGAAATATGTAAACAGTTCGTAACGGCGCATCACCGCGCTGTCCGGCTTTTGTCCAATCCGTGCGGTGTGAAGAGGAAGCAGTGACAGACATGTTCTATTCGATCCCATCAGATCATTTCCACGTGTCACAATCTTATGCCTTCATTTCCATTCTCTGATTTCATTTCGCTTACGTCATCGCACTCCTTTTATTTACGCCACGTCGAAACATGTGAAAAACCTCCATTTCTCTAATTTATCAAATATTAACAAAAATCTCCATTTTCCACCAAAATTTAACATTATAATATTCATTTTTTATTTTTAAAATTAACCCTTCTAATTTTTAAAATTTTAAATTTTCAATTAGTTTTAATAGAAATTAATTTTAAAATTATAGTTTACCTTTAATTTAAATTTTTATATTTAATTTAATCACCGTCTCAATTTTCTAATATATTTACAGTAAATTGAAATTTTACATTAAAGAATAATTAAATTATTATTTTATTAACATATTTAGACGTAATGAATGTCATAAATAATACGTCATTTGGAATAATTTTTTGGGACTCACGAGAAAATTGCACGCGAGCATTTTCTGGTGGAGGTTTTGAAACAAATTTCTAAATATACAACAAGTCCATGACGGATATGTGTAATGAAGGCGTGAAAGGCTCAGAAAGTTTGAATTTTTGCGACGGTTACTCAATAAAGTTAGTTTCCTTTTACTGTTCTTGAAGCTATCCCAACAGTTATGAGCATCTATTTAATATCGATATCAGTACCCGAACAACTTGCTATTATTGAAGTTAGACCAGCTAAAGTAGCTTTACGCCATAATTTCAGCTCATTATAAGGAAAAAACGCCTAACGTTCAAAATTTTAATTTTTCAAAATTTATTCAATAAAAATTTAATTTAAATAGAGAGTAAATATAAATTAGTTTTGATTTAGGTATTATACATGAATTTAAAAAATTTGTAATCCTTTATAAGTTTATGAGCCTATTATGTGTATTTTGTTATAATGTCATAATTTGTTAATATTAATTTTAATATTTTAAAACTTTTAAAAGATTAACTAATATAAAATCGTTCAAAAGTTGTAAATTTTTAATCCTTATTTTATAATGAACCGAACTCAACCTAATTATAAAATATATTGAGTCGGGTTGATTAGATTGTTCATATCGATTATTCATTATTTTTATTAACATTTATTTATTTTTAAACATTCAATTAAAATTTGCAAAAATTTATTTGAACTCAACCCAAATCAATTAGGTTAAATGATCAGTACAATAGCCCAAGCCCATCAGATATTATCTTCTTTGTGATTTTACTGTTGGGCTTCCCCTAAAAAATTTTAAAATGTTTCGGTTACCTCCAACTGATGTGAGATTGTGGGATCTCACAATCCACCCCTTTGAAGCCCAACACTCGCTAACACTCGTTACTCTCTCTAATCCATGTGGGATTATATAGTATTTATCTAATGCTTTAGCCAACTATCCACCGCTAGCTGATATTATACTTTTTGGGCTTTCTCTTTCGGGCTTTCCAGGTTTCCACACCCTTATAAACAGTGTTTTGTTCTCCTCTCCAACAAATGTCGGACATATAGGACTAAATTGTTATAATCTAAAATTCAAAGATTGAATCGTTACATCGACCAAACTAGACTGACTACAAATGTTTTTCAACAAGACATTTCAGATATAATAAATAAAATTCGTCCCACGAGTTCCCAAACCGTGTGACCAAAACCTAGAATTCATAAAGTATGGTCCCTAAAATGCATGTAAAAATAAAAATACTTTGGGTTATGATTACTTCCCCAAATTTAAGGGCTTAAGAAATGTGTATTAAATTAAACCATGTCGCCTAAGCAAACGGCAAATTCAGCTTCCAATATAGTTAATAAAAGTCAAATAAAAACTTCCAAAATAAATTAAAAAAAAAAAAAAAAAGACAATAATTTTTTTTAATTAATTTGAGTTTAATTAAATGGGAAAGGGGTCAATGAAATATATTTATTTAGACCCTAAACTAATAATTAATTAAATCTAACCCCTACATTTTTCATTTAGTACTTCAATAGACCCTTTTGGTCAAAACTTTTTGCAAATATATTTATTGTGCATGTTTGCATAAAGGTCCCTTGGATTTTTTTATTTATTATTATTTGTTTTTTTTTATGCCAATTTGCTAATTAGTCCAAGTAATTCCATGCATTAAAATGTGTGTTTTTGTGTAAATGGAAATATAAAAATGAAAAAGAAAATCAAATTTCTTACATTTTAGCACACATATATTTAATTTATTATTTTTCTTTGAATTATTAATTTTTTTTAGATAATTAATTTAATTAGTAATTAAGCTTAACGGAATTTATTAGGAACACCAATTGATAAAATGTAGCCGTTACATTCATATTTTTTAAAAATTTGGGAAGTGACGTGATTTACCAACTCCTTCAACGAGTTTGACAGATTAATTAATTGTGCATGAACTGAAATTGCAATTTGTCGTAAACAAAAACTTACCAAATATAATCTAAAATCGTCACCTCCTCCGTCACCTTTTTAAACAAAACGTTACAAATTTGGGATGAAAATGTTTGAGAGAGAACGAAACATTTTTTATAAGAGTATGAAAACTTCTCTATAATAGACGCATATTGAGAAACCAAAGAGGACAGTATCACTAATTTTGCTGTGTAAATCAGAAAAACGCGTTTTTATACATACCGATTTGTAACGGGCCAAAATGAACAATATCTGGTAGGCTCCAAGGTTTGATCTAATTTTTGATAAAAATTAACGAGACCAATTTTAAATTTTATCGAATATTTTGATAAAAAATGTCGAACCCAAAATGATTAACTTGGTTCGAAGGAGGGAAATTAAGGTTGTGCCAATGCATGGTGCAAAATTGAAGGGCCTACGGTTTGGAGAAATTATTTGAGGATGTTGACACGGATAGTTTTGGCGGTTGACAATTTTTATAAGACCAACAAAATCTATGGTCTACACGCGATGATTTTAAAGAAACAACTGTATTGTATCAATCTCGTTGAATGATACCGGTCAAGTAATGACATATTATAATAAGTGCTATGGTCGGAAACCAATGACATATTGAGTATATGCTAATTAGCTATCCATGTGTCGATAGAAGTAAATTTTTTAATATAGTTAATTGTATGAGTTAAGTCGTTTACTAGATAATAACCTAACCGAGCTGCTAATTTTAAAAAAGATCACTAATTTTCAATCTGTTATTGCTACTTAATCCACGCCATCTAAATATTTAATCCGCTAGTAATTTTTTAATCGTAAGCCTATTTATCAATTGTTATCAAACTATAAAATATTGTTCTTTTGATTTTCAACCACAACGAAGAACTCGATGATTAAAAAAAGTAATAAATTTGTGAAAAATATTAAATTTGCGTCGAGCACTAAAATCTTGTGTTGATTTAATGATGACGAAATTGAAATCGAGTAGTTCTATGATTGTTTTGGGTACATGTTTGAGGTAATGTAGGGTATCTATTTGTGAAGCTTAGAGTTAGGACATATATATTAGAGACCTATAGGGTATCTATTTGTGATCCATGAGTACCAAACCAAAGTTGCTTTTGTGTCAGATATATGCAACTTTCACAATATTAATGAACACCTATATAACCTATCAAAAACCCACAAGTATAGCTTCAAATTATCTAATAGAGATCCTATTTAATGTTGATATTGATTGGAAGTAATGAAAAATTAAGGATGCATGAATGACTTACTTAGATATGTATGAACTCAACTTAGAAAATGTACGAGACTACTTCCAAAATAGATTGGTGCTCAACCATACTCACTTCGATCCTTAAGCCATCTAGGATTTTGGATTGCCCTCCAATTCTATTGAATTTGCCGGAGAGTGGATTTTCAAGAAAGGGTTGAGTTTAGGCTAGTTCGACGCTCTTCAGCCATGGATTGGGCTTTGTTCTATGATGGGTTTAATAGACTCGACCCTATTCAACTTGACTTTGCTCGGTCTAAGCCTAGGTCTAGTATATCGGTACTTGACATTTCTCTAAATTGTCTAAGATAGGCTTCACCATCATGTTATTATTAGTTATATTTCTCCGCTTTGAGAAAGTAAGTACTCGAGTCTCAATACATATAACATGCATGACTTCCATACTTTAATAAAAAAATTATGTCCCATGAAAATTACTCCCATAATTTTCATGACATGAATTCCCAACGAGATAGCAAGATACTCTTTGTGTTAGATCATTTGTAAATGGACTGGGCCATGGCTATTGGGCTTCGTGGGCTAACCCTTAGGCAGGCTTGGTCAAAGCCTACAATTCCTTTCGATTATGAGGCCCAATATCGAGTGGTTGGGCCTGCTGGTACGATGATACTTTGACTCGATCGAAAAAGTCAAATTGATAGTAATTTAATGATTTTTTCAAAAATTAAATAATATTTTTAATTAAAAATATATTTTACGCATTTTAAATTCATTCAAATATTATAAAATATTTAATATATTTAAATCAATGTTAAATTTCCTCAAAAATGCTACCAAAATCATGGTGATAATGAAAGAGTCGAAGATAATTTGAACAATATACTTTCAATGCAATTTCCTTTTATAAATATATAATTTTTTAAAGTTGAATTCTACCGGTTGGATGATGAAAGTCTCACATCGGCTAATTTAGAGAATGATCATGAGTTTATAAATGAGAAATACTAACTCTATTGGTATGAGGCCTTTTGGGAAGCTCAAAGCAAAGCTATGAGAGCTTACACTCAAAGTTGACAATATCATAACATTGTGGAGAGTCGTGTTCATATTGACTTTATGGTTTTCTCACTTGTAATTGCACGGAATTGCAATGTTTCGGTCTTCGATTGATCTCCAAATCCGCAATCATGGTGTGAGCTGCATATAGAGAGACCCGCACGTAAGATTTTTAAGGGATTCAACCGAAAGACCGGCCAGCGCCCGCCCACCCGACCACCCCATTGACCCCATTGATCCAAAGCCGCAATGTTTTGGTCGTTAGGTTCTCTCCAAAGCCACGTAACGTTGTAGGAAATTTTATTTCTTGCGTGTGAAGGTTTTAATATTTGACAATGAAAATGAAGTATTAAAATATGTTTATAAATATATTTGCCTTTGAAAATTGAAACCCTACATCAAAACAGCCCTAATCAAAGATCCAATTGTTTGTTGTATTCAAGAGGCATGAACAAACTTCCCATATTCTTTTTTTTGCTTCTTTCAATCATTATTACACTAAGTTTCTTCCTCTTCTTCTATTTTCCATCCTCCTCCGAGAGTTCAAAGCATCGAAACTCCGTCCTTCAATTGTACGAAATCATTCGGGTAGTGAAATCGAGTCGTGGGTCGGCGTTTCTTGCATTTAACGCCATCATGCTCATCCTTTTTGGCGAGAAGTTTAAGCAATCACTGAGTGAAGAAGAGGAGATAGGAGAACAGGTAGAGAGCTATAAAGATCATGATAGACGTGACGATGAACTCATCACTCATAATATTTATGTTTATGATAGCTGTGATGAAGACGGTGATGAAAGGTTTCAAGATGATTTAGAGAAGAAAGCTCAAGAGTTTATTGAGATGATGTACTCTTTTTAGAGAGAAGAATTGATTTGTGACAGATTTCTCGAGGTTCATTGATCATTAATGTTAAGATTTGATATTGTGTTGTTGTTTGTTTTTCTTACCAACACAAATGAGAAAAAAAAAAATGTTAGATCTTGACGGTTATTATCAATTCTAATATTTATATCATGTATTTAAAACATGAATTTGATTATTAGAGTTGTATTATAATCTTATTTTTCAATTCAAGCCCAACTCAATTTATTATTGATTTTTTTTTAAAAAAAAATGTCGCTTATAATTTTTTTTTGTTGAGATATAGTTTAATATTAATTTGTTCAATAGAAGATATGAGTTATTTTATGAATATTCTTTAAATTTTTATTGGGAAGGTTGAGAGACAAATTCAGTGACTCTAACTCCCTAAATTTCGAGTAGAGCCGATTAGGTATTGCAACGTCATCGTGATATAGAATGATTGATGTCTTTCTTGAATCATCTTGGGTGGATAGGTTACCTCTTTAAAATAAAATTTAATTTAGACTTAAAAATGGAGAGTATAGAAAAGGTGTTAATGACAGCTGTAAAAATAGTTACTACATTTTATTTTTAATTTATCCCATATTATTATTATTATTATTATTGATCTAAAGGTAAAAATATTTTTGTGTTTTATTTTTAATAATTATGAGTGGTCTCCAGGCAATTATAAAAATCTTGGAATTTATTTAAAATTTAAAGATAATCTCCTCTTTCAATGATATTAGAAAATCATTTTTTTAATTTATTTATTTCATGCAAACTTTTCCATTTAAAATCTTGATTTTTAGAGGATTTTTATTATTATAAATCAAACTTTAAAAACGGAGGGTTCTTATTTAGAAACTTCATTTTTTAAAAGGAGGCAATTTTGAAAAGTTGGAGGGTCCTTACTTAAAAATATATATATAATTTTGGCCATTTGTTCTATTTCAAAATTCAATTTTTTTAAAAAAATTAAAGGTTCTTATTTCAAAAATCCAATTTTTGAATATTTTATTTCAAAAATTCACTTTGAATAAATTGAAGAGAAATCCAATTTTTAAAAGGGGCAATTTGTTTTATTTCAAACTTTATTGCCAAAATTCAATTTGAATAAATTGGAGGGTTACGAACAAACTTTAATTTTTGTCTTTTTAAAAAAACTAAAAAGAGAAATGTTTAATTGCTGTGAAGATTCTGATTTCTTAAAAAAAAAAAAGATAATAATAATATCACAAATAAGGGACCCACCCTTCTAAGTTTATCCCCTTCAACATGAAATTGATATCTTATCCATTAAGCTATACTCGAATTCATTATCAATATTAATTTTCTCAAAAAATTGGTAAACAAGATATACATAGATTCTATCTAGATATCTTATCTATCTCCCGAGTTAATCTCAAATTCATCATCAAGATATCTTATCCACTGAGTTGTGCTCGAATTCATATGAGATTATTTTTCTCAACTATAAAACGATAGACAAGATATTTATAGATTCTATCTAAATATCTTATTCATTGAGTTATGCTTGAATTCATCGTGGAGATTAATTTTCTCAAGTATATCTATAGATTCTATCTAGATATCTTTTATCGAGGGATTCGATTCTCAATACAGAGTCTAGCTAAATTCCTCCAAGAGGGAGATCAAAGGGTGCACATATGTAATACGAGCTTGTGGGAGCCAATTTTTTGGGCCCATTATATAAACAATTTGAGATGTAGGAGGGATCGCATAAAGAACACCACCCTCCATTTAATATTTCCTCAAGAAATATAAAATTTTCAGGTACCATGAATTGCAATATGAAATGAATGTGAAGTTTGTAAGAATTATGTAAAGGAGTTATTCCCTTCACCTTAAAAACTGTCTACCGTAGCCCATCCTTTCTTCTCCAATTCCAATCTCAAAGCCTGAAATTATTACGCATACCCATAAATCAGTGGATTAGCAAACGCTTGTTTTAGATCCCAGAGTTACAAAAACAAACAAAAGATGGAAGATTTTTGTTGCCGGGGATTCACTCACCTTGATCCTCTTTCTGTTGATATCGAAATCGAAGTTCCCAATTCGGGATGCTGATCGGTATTCTACTATCGACTTCTTGCCTGGTGGAAACCAAAACTCGACGTCGTCCACAAACTAATTTGTTCAAAGAAAGTTGGTCATTTTCAGTAAGTGCCAAAAGATTGTCTATACTTCAGATGAGTTTAAAACTTATCGGGTTTTGTTGATTTTATCTGCAATGAAACAGAGGATTTCATACCCCTATTATGGGAGTTTCGTATTCCACTAATAAATAGTCATCTTTCTGCTCTACGATCTTCGGCGTAAACTTATCGGGTTTTGTTGATTTTATCTGCAATGAAACAGAGGGTTTCATAGACTGTTACTAATCGATTTGCATTTTCGTTACAGCAAAATAAGCCGAAATATTAAAGATGGAAGGAGAGATTCTTGGTTTTTACCACTTGGATCAGTTCCTGCATTGCCACTTCTCTGCTAACAGGGTTTTTCTTGCCTCTTCCTTCTTCTGGATTGTAGCACCTATCAAAATTAAAAAGTTAAAATGAATTTGATAATCACAACACGAGATGATCCTCGGATTATAGAATCAAAACAACAAGATCGCATCTCATCAATCTAGAACTATTAAGATATCAACAGAATCTAGTCCATAAATTCCCGATCACATAGTTCAATGTTCGTCATTAGGCTTTGCCTGAGATTGTATCTAACAACAGCACAGTACCTTTCAAACATATCAGAATATAATAATAAAAACGTGCATCATCTTATCACTATTGATCACATCCAATTTTTCTTATTATTCATAAAAAGGCATGAGTTTTGGGTTCCAAAAAGAAGCGAATTCTAATTCCTTGCATGTGAAAACTGAAAGTAGCGCCGTCCTATAGAATATGGACTACAGAGGTCTAATATGTTGTGCTTAATTTTGGCTTTGCTTTAGTATGGTTTGGCCAATATATCCATCATATGACAATAGACTGCCTGGTCCTATCAAGATCCATTTTTAAATTATCACATTTTAAATGCATCACTTTAAGAAAAAGTTTGATGCAGACATATGAAGTCAATTATCTAAAATAGAGTCAAACTTGTACTACACTATCAACCACCAAGTAGTATATTCACTTTTTGGTGGAAGTAAGAAAACGTGTTCTACGGAAGAGAAAGTTTGTTAACTTACTACGCAAATTTTGATTTTGTAATTGAAATTGATTTTTTCAGTTTACATTACATGATTAAAGTGGAACAAACAATGAGAAAATTGACACTGTAGCTGGTCTCAAAGAGCATAACATATGATAACGTGTGATGAACAGTGTTAATGCATTTTACCCAATCAATAAAAATGATAACAACAAAAGGGTCAATATCTCTTAATTGGAAGAAGTGTTTTCAAAACTTGAATGAACCTTAAAGAAAAGTATTTAAGTGGGAAGATGGAGTTACCATGGCGGAGCATAATGGGTGAGATCGCTGACATTTTCTGCAGTAGAGATGCAGTTTCTAGTTGCTGGACACAGGGCCAAACTTGGTTGGCCTTTCTGCACACCAAGATACTCAGGCTTTTTCCCACTGCATCAAACACAGATTACATTGCTCAAACAAAACTCTTATCCCTGGTTAAAACTAGAGCCAAATTCCCAAAATCTACTTCCCCTTTTTTTTCAAATACTTAACTTCCACCTATGTTCTTCTTAATTTAGTTACCTACTTTTCAAAAACGTCTGCCAAATTTTGAAATTTAAAAGTAGTTTTTGAAACTTAGCATAGAATTCAATAGTTTTTTGTGGAAGAAATGTGCTGAGGAAGCAAGCTTAATTATAAAAACAAAATCGTGATCAAAGTGGGTCTAAGGTTTTGGTTTAGAAGATAACTTTAGTCTTCCTACTTTTATGTTTGTGTGAAACTAGAACCTATACTCTCAAAATTTATAGTTTGGTCTCAATAATTTAATGTATTAGACTCAAAAGTCTGGTATTGAAGATTGGCACAACAGTGATGTGGGCTCGACGGGTACTGTAGTGACCAATGTAAGTAAAATTAGCAAATTGAAAGTTTCAAGAGTATGAAATGGACAGTAAACGCGTATAATTTGAACAAATCTTCTAATGTTGCAAAGAGAAGGGCGATTAATTGAAAAAGAAACATGAATGAACAAATTGATAAATTAACACCACAATGTTAGATAATATGAGGTTTCAAAACCACAAACAAAGTTAGCACAAATCATTAAACTTCAATTACAGCAGCAACAGAAACAAATTTCAGAAATTCATCCGATTAAAAAGATGGCCGCTCGAATTATGATTACTCAAAAGGGAAAAAGATAATGTTGAAATGAGCAGCAATCGGAAACAGCGAGACATACCTCAAGTTAAAAATCGCTCCAATGATCGCTAACTCACTGCTCCGCAAAACTATTTCCCTACAAGACGAAAACAATTAACATTTAGAGACTCCAGTTCACATCAAAACACAGAGCGTGAGAGAGAGAGAGAAGGAGAGAGTACCTTCGATTAATGTTTTCAGGCGATTTGTCGCGGTTTTCCGGCTTGTGACAGAGGAGGATACGGGGGAAGGTGGAAGTGGAAACAGAGCGTGAACGAACCTTTCTGTAACGACTGCAGAAACAATAAGGGCTGGAAGACGCCATTGAAGCCATTGTGAAAAGCTTGAGAGGGCAAAACTGGTTTCTCACCGTCCACCTGCTCGAAATCTGTGGGCATTCACCGTGGGATTGAATTGAATTTTGGTTTGAAGGGGCATTTAATATTTATAGCCCACATAATTTTTGACGCGCAGACGAACCATCTCTCTCTCTTTTGACCTTGGAAAAATACAAAAACAGAGCAAAAGCGTTCCACGCCATAGAATTTAGAATGGACGCGTGTTTAAAATGCCGATTTTTCAGGGGTAAAAAAAAATATAATAGTAAATTACGATTTAGTCCTTGGAATTCTCCTATTCCTTTTTTAACCCTTAATTTTACATCTAAATCTATTTGGTAACCTCTTTACTTTTTGTTTTTTGTTTCTTATTTTTAAAATTTTAATTATAAATAATATTTTTCCTCTCTAATTTTTATTTTTGTCCAGATTTAAGCTTTGTTTAGAAATTTTATTTTATTTTTTTTGTTTTTTAATTGAAATTCAATGAATATAAAAATAAACCAAATTCCCAAAACTAGTTTAATGATTATCATACCGATCATAATGAAAGTAAACTTTGAATTATACTCGAGATTGTCATCATACCAGAAGAATTATTATTATTATATTCTTCTTAAAATATAAAATTCTTTTTTAGATTCATGAACTTATCACTTTACGAGAGAAAATATCAAAAAATTATCGATCCATTTGCAATCATAGAGATAATTGAAAGACTCTCTGGGACCTTTGAAATTTTCCCCAAGTATCAAATCTGAAACGAATTGCAATCATTAAAGCAAAGATTTAAATACGAATAATGGAAGAGAGTTTTAAGCTTAAGCCTACACTTGGTCGTGAACAAGGTTCGATACCTTTTCAATCTTTTTAATCCAAATTCAGCTCATCACACTACGCATAATTCAATACTTCAAATGTTTTCAAGACAAAAACAAAATTAGTGCAAACCTCTAAAGAAAAAAAAAAAGAAAAGAATAGGAATATAATTTATAATGGGATTAAAGTTTATTTTACTTCCTCCAAAGTCACAACTGTGTTTAAATTGTTGTGAAGGGGAAACGGAATTTAGCCCAAGCAGTAGTAGTACACATCATTACATGGAGAATAGAAAGAGTTTGACCATTTATGTATAGATCACAACCACTTTTAAAAAAATTTCGGGGCCTCCACTGGAGGCTCTGGTTCCGACAATCGCTTCAATTTCTGCAAAATATTTTTCAAACATATTGTGAGCCGCCAATGAACAAAAAAAAAAACAATTAAATTTCCTATTAACAAATATCCCTCTAAATTTTTGAAAATAGAGGAAACAATTAGATAAAGAAACTCAGAAGCAGCGCTTATATTATTATGTAATGGGTATCAGAATATGAGAATTAAGGTAATAGGCGTGGAATTAGTACTACCATGATATATTGGGGAGGATCATCCAAAGTGGAGCAACCTAGCACTACTTCTCTCCTTAGTTTTGCGGTGAGCTTATGACAAACTCGCAACTGAAAGTTGACAATTACAGAACAAAAATCAATTAGAGGGAAAATGTAGAATACCAAAGTAATCGGGAGTAAGCAAAAGCATACCTCGGATCGAGTAGCCCCACCAATAATGAATACAAAAACACGTTGTCCCATTTTCTTAAAGTCGAGAGTTGCTGCTTTCAAAATAGAGTCACTGTAAAAGGCAATATGCATTTTACGTATTGGGGGAATTAATGAACTTAAAATTTAAAGCTTTTTTTCCTATTAACAATGCATAACCACTTCTGAAATAAATAAATATGCTAGACCTTCCGTATCCATCGTCAGAAATACTGGATCGTGCCCAATTTGCTGTTCGTCTTGATCTCATTGATTTTGGACCACCAGCCGATTGACTTGTCTGGCTAGTTGCACTCTGAGTACTACCTCTCGGGACAGCAGGTTTAGTGGTCGATGGAGAAGGTTCGTTCATACAAGAATATTCATTTTTTGATAATTCACCTTTGCACAAATTTTCTATAAGTTCCTGAAGAATAATAAAAACGTCTATAAGTATTTAACCATCGTAGTTTTGCACACGTCTGGGACGAAATAATACTAACAACCAAGTAATAATAACGGGAAGTTAAATAAGAAAATATTCTTATAGCAGACCTCTATCATGGGGTAAAATCGAAATAGTTGCCATGTTTCTTCTTCACCAGTGCGGTCTTTTCTTGTTGCTTGTTTAGTCTGATCATAGACAAGAGTTAGATCGTAGGAATGCTTTCACCAGGTTTGCTCGAAATTTCGATATTTCAACTTTGATTATATCTGGCAATTAACTTATGGCTTACCTTCTGTGCATTAAATTTTAAGGAGAAACTATGAGCTGATGTAGCCTTTTTAGCATCCGACCCCGCCAGCAACCGCATGTTCTTCACTACCGTCATATCTTCAGCTGTTAACTTAGCCAACTAATTTAAAATTGAAATGAGATTAGTTAATGCAGTTATTCTTAGATATACACAAATAACTACTGCTAAAAAATTTGCCAATCTTTAAAATAGATCAAAGACACAAGGAGAAGATTTGAGTGAGAAAGCTAAAATGGGGGAAATCATTTATAAGAAGGAGAAATGCTAAGCATTCTATGGATAAAAAGTCCAATCATAGACCAAAATAAATTCCTTTCTTCTGTTACCTGCATTATCTTTGCAGCTTTGTCGTCCTCAAACTTTTCAGGATAGACAGAAGCATAAATCATCAACAAACGTAATTTATTTTCTGGACTTGCATTCTGCATAGGAAAAGAGAAGTTGAAGAATGGTTATTGACAATTAACTGAGCTTTTTTAAACATTCACTCCTTTTAGCATGTGACCTGATTTGTCCTTAAGAAGTTAATAACATCCTTAGCTCCCGCATCTCCAAAAACCAAATCCTGCTCCAATTGTCCAAGCTCTCGAAGTCCCATTTCTCTAATCAGTGTATTTATTTTTCCAGCAATCTATATCAAATGATAAAAAAGATAATGGTCAAATGCGGAAAATGACCCTAATCAAACCCAAGCATGATATCTTCTCAACTTCATTAATATTTCAGACCAACAGTTGACAGATGTAATAACTTACAAAACTGAATTTCCAGAGCATGAAAAAGGGGGACAAGCTAATCACATATAAGATTAGTTCTCAAAAGTGGAAGCAACATAACCTCATCCAACATGAGAAACAAACCTCAACATGAAGAGTAATCTTTTCCACTTGTTCTGTGTATTGTGGTAAAGCTTGAACCATTTTCTGTAAATCTCGTGTAGAAATTTCACCACCATCTCTGCAAAGAGCAACTTCAACATTTAAGAGCTAGTAATATGAAAAACGGGAAATAGATGTTTTTCAATTTAGAAACAGTAAAAATAGTGTCAAAATGATGACAGCTTAGAGAACCAAAATCCATGAAAAACTTATATTTTGTTTTAAATGAAAAAATGAAATCTGAAAAGTCAATATAAACAGCGCAGAAATGAACCTTGCAGTTTGATGAATTTGCGCAGCTTTGTTTTTAGATGCAAAAGTGGTCATCTTCTCATGTAAACGTTCACTAGCCTGTTATATCAGTTGGTGAAAAGAGAGAATGAACCAACAGATCATGTGATAGGGCAAAATCTCAATGGATAGGACATACATCTGCAATATGTGCATGTCGAAGCTCAAGCCAAACTGGATCAGTGTCTTCCAAAAGGGCCTCTCGTTTATCAGGATCACCTCCTGTCTTACTGGATACCTATGAGCACAATTGTGTACAATTTATATTTGAAAAAGAAAAAGGAAAAACGCCCGGAAATTGAGCAAGAAAATGATGTCGGCACATCCATAATGAGGCTCATACCTCATATATGTACTTATTTCCTTCCATTTCTAACAAATCCCGACACATAGCATCATAAGTCCACTCATGGATAACAGGGGCAATCTATAGTTTGAGTTCAAAACATTAAATAAACAAACCAGACAAAAATTACATCATCACTGAAACAGAAAATTAAAGTAACCTGATCAATGGATCTATCCAAGATGAGCAGCTCACATGTTTCAGACTGAGGGTAGTTGGGAATGGTAGATTTATACTTGGAAATACAATTCCATACGGCAGCAGCAAGTTTTGTGGGTACTAATTCACGAAGTGATGCTGCAGTGGGGTCCTCCAAAGCCTTGGAAGCTCGATATCTCACAAATGGGAACTCCTAAAGAGAGGAAAGGATTTCATAAGTATCAATCCTTAAACATCATATACGGAACAATTGTAGTTTGTTATCTTTGATTTTTTTGGTCCATGACAAAGTATAATTTGGTGTAGCAAGGTGGTGATGAGGACCTTTCATCATTAATCCCAATTTATGTTACAACAGAAATTAACTGTCTTAATATACAGCCGAATTCAGAACAAATGTTAGCTAAATGTCTGCTATAGTTTTCAAAATTTAGAAATTAAGCGAGAAGAAAACCAAATCAGAGAAAGAAAATATGAGTGCATTAAGTCAGCTGGGCATGCTGCTCAATAATAGTTGGTATTTGCTGCAATAGATAATCGCTCTAATCCATGTATACTTCAAATTCAATAAAAACTCAGAACTAATCACTATAAACTTAAACACATCATCCTAAAGTGGCATACCTTTAGTGATGCAAAAACAGTAGCGATTCTAGTCGCCATTGTATTCAAGCAATTATCAAATCTACGAGAATTTTCAGATTCAACAAAAAGATCATCCAATGCCCTATCGTGATCAGTGATAAAGGCCTGCATAAAGGTCATTGTCAGTTCACTGTTCGTTGTTATCCGAAAAGTGAAGTTTACTTTGGACATGGAAGATGTTAAAGCATCACATAATATCTTTAATACTTGCAAGTAAATTTCATTGCCTGACAGTAATTAGCAAGCTAGAGAAACAAAAGGTATTCTATTCTACGCTTGTGTATGGAAGATTTTTTTAGTTTTCTGACTTCAAATGAGTAGTCCCAGTGGTTAGATAAAGCAGCCAGGTCAAGATATTAAAAGTATGATAATAACATAGGAATTGTAATTCATCTCTACGTAACAGTCTAAATTTCCAGTCAAACTTCCTAGTCTAATTT